AGGCAAGAGACCTGTACACTGAAAACTAAAAGATGCTGATGAAAGAAATTGAAGATGATACCGTGTTCTTAGATCATAAGAATCTATATTGCTAAAATGACAATACTACTCAAGGCAATCTACAGATTCAATGCCATCCCTATCAAAATACCAGTGGCATTTTCCACAAAATTAGAACAAATAATTTTAAAATTTGTTTGGAAACACACACAAAAAAACCCAGCCTGGAGAAAAAAACAGAGTTGGAAGAATCAGGAAGAATCATGCTCCCTGATTTCAGACTATACTACAAAGCTACAGCAATCAGAACACTATGGTACTGGCACAAAAACAGACACACAGATCAATGGGATAAGACAGACAGCCCAGAAATAAACCCATGCACTTATGGTCAATTAATCTACAACAAAGAAGGCAAGAATATACAATGGAGAAAAGACAGTCTCCTCAGTAGTGATGCTGGGAAAACTGGACAGCTCCATGTGAAAGAATGAAATTAGAACATTCTCTAACACCATATACAAAAATAAATTCAAAATGGATTAAAGACCTGAATATAAGACCAGATACTATAGAACTTCTAGAGGAAAACATAGGCAGAATACATTTTGACATAAACTGCAACAATACTTTTTTGGATCCTTCTCCTAGATTAATGGAAATAAAAACAAAAATAAACAAATGGGACTTAATTAAACTTAAAAGCACTTGCACAGCAAAGGAAATCACTGACAAAACAAAAAGACAAACTACGGACTGGAAAAATTATCTGCAAACAATACTACTGACAAGGGATTAATTTCTAAAATAAACAGCTCATACAGCTTAATATGAAAAAAAAAAAACCCAATCAAAAAATGGGCGAGAGTAAACAGACATTTTTCCAAAGACATACAGATGGTCAACAGGCACATGTAACAATGCTCAACATCACTAATCATCAGGGAAATGCAAATCAAAACTACAATGAAGTACACCTCACACCAGTCAGAATGGCCATCATTAAAAAGTATATAAATAATAAATGATGGAGAGGGTGTGGAGAAAAAGGAACCCTCCCACACATTGGTGGGGATGTAAATTGGTGTAGCCACTATGGCGAACAGTATGGAGGCTTCTTAAAATACTAAAAATAGAGTTACCATATGACCCTGCACTCCTGCTCTTTGCCATATATTCAGAGAAAACTCTAATTCAAAACAATACATGCACCCCAATGTTCAAAGCAGCATTACTTACAATAGCCAAGACATAGAAGCAACCTAAGTATCAATCAACAGTTGAAGAGATAAAGATGTGGTATTTATAGATACAATGGAATATTACTCAGCCATTAAAAATTGAGTAAAATAATGCCATCTGCAGCAATATGAATTGGCACAGAGATTATCATTATTAAGTGAAGTAAGTCAGACAAAGACAAATATCATATGATATCACTTATACGTGGAATCTAAAAAAATGATACACATGAACTTACAAAACAAAAACAGACTTACAGACATAGAAAACAAACTTATGGTTACCAAAGGGGAAAGCAGTGATCAGGGAATGATAAATTAGGAGTTTGGGATTAACATACACACATTACCATATATAAAACAGATACCAAGGACCTACTATATACAACACAGGGAACTATATTCAGTATCTTATAATAACCTATAATGGAAAAGTATGTGAAAAGGAATATATACATACATATATATAAAATTGAATCTCTGCTGTACACCTAAAACTAACACAACATTGTAAATTAACTACACTTCAATTTAAAAAAAGTTTCCAAGAGAAATTAAGAAAACAATTACATTTACAATTGCATCAAAAAGAATAAAATACCTACAAATAAATTTAACCAAGGAAGTGAAAGACCTGTAAACTAAAAATTACTAAGACACTGATTAAAAGAAAAAAAAAAGATGACATAAGTAAGTGGAAGGATATTCCCTGCTCATGTATTGGAAGAATTAATTGTTATAGCAAACAATCCTAAAATTTGTAGGGAACCTCAAAAGACCGTGGATAGCCAAAACAATCTTGAGGAAGAAGTATCAAGCTGGTGACATCAAACTCCATTATTATAAACTATATCACAAAGTTATAGTATCAAAACAGTATGGTATTGGTTCCAGTCAAGATGGCAGAGTGGAGGACCACAAGCTCGCCTCTCCTAGCAACTACAACAAAACCACAACTGAATGCTAAACAACCAGTGAAAAACGATTGGAACCTAGCAAAAAAGATCTTCTGCAACTGGAAATATAAAGAGAGAACCACAACAGGATGGTAGGAGGGGCGTGTTCATGATATAACTGGGCCCCATAATCTCCAGGTGGGCGACCCACAAGCTGAAGATTTGTTAAGTCGCAGAGGCCCTCCCACAGGAGTGAGAGCTCTAAGCTCCATGTCAGGCTCCCCAGCTTGGGTCCCAGCATTGGGAAGAGAAGGAGACCCCAGGACATCTGGTTTTGAAGGCCAGTGGGGCTTGGCTCTGGGAGCCTCATGGGACTGGGGGAAACAGAGACTCCATTTGCTTGAGAAGCATACATGGAAACTCACGTGCACCAGGTTCAAGGGCAGAGGCAGTGATTTCATAGGAACATGGGCCAGACCTGCCTGCTGGATTTGGAGAGTCTTCTGGGGATGTGGGGGATGGCTGTGGCTCACTCAGGGGACATAAAAGTTTGTGGCAGAGTGTTAACCTACATGAGCTTTCTTGGAGGGTGACATCTTGATTGGATTATTAGCACCAAGACCTAGCCCCACCCAACAGCCTGTAGGGAAGCTTCAGGCCAAACAACATACAGGGTAGGAACAAGGCCCCACTCATCAGCAGACTTCCTAAGCCACAAAAGGCCTCTAGACACAGCCCTACCCACCAGAGGTCCAGGACCAAGCTTCACCCAGCAGTGGGCAGGCACTGGCTCCTCTTGCCAGGAAATCTGCATAAGCCTCTAGTTCAGCCTCATCCACCAGGGGCAGATACTAGAAATAAGAAAACAATAATCCCAAAGTCTGTGGAAGGAATCCACAAACACATAGAAAGATAGACAATATGAGGCAGCAAAGGAATATTTCCCAGGCCAAAGCACAAGATAAAATCCCAGAAGAAATAAGTGATGAGGAGATAAGCAATTTATCTGAGAAGGAGTTTAAAGTAATGATGGCCAAGATGTTCAGAGAACTCAAGAGGAGAATAGATGCACAGAGTGAAGTTTTTAGCAAAGAGTTGGAAAATATAAAGAATACC